CTCTCTCGACGAGCGGGATCGCGCGCCTCGCGGTCCCGCTCGTCGTCCTCCTTCTGCGAGATGACGGTCTCGCAGAAGGAGGACACCGCCCTCCACGACCTCTCGCTCCCCACCATGGCCGCAACCACGGCCGGGAACGAGAGGTCTCCCCCTATCGCTGCACCGAGTGCCCGCCTTTCCCTGGCAAAGGCCAGGCACTCCGCCAGCACTGATGGCACTCTGCCGTCGTCTCGGCTCCTACTTTACGCAAGTACTCACCGAAGCATCCATGCCCGGTGAGCACCTGCGTGAGCCGGTAGGTCAGCCTGCCGTGCCGACGGTCCAGCCATCCATCACGGACGGGCAGGACCGCGTCCACGGCTCGCTGCTGGGCGGCGCCGCTGTCAAACAGCTGGCGCCGCCACTTTTCGCTAGCGAGCCGCCGGCTCTGGCGCTTCAACGCTTCGATCGCGTCGTCCGGCGGGTCGATCCCGTTCCGGCGGAGGCTCTGCAGACACCGATGTACATCGGCGTCAGCCTCCGCCTGGAAGTCAAAGGGCACGATCCCAGCCAGGACGACCGCCGCCTCGTGGGAAATGGTGCGGTAGCTCCTCACGACCCTGATGGCCATGCGGCGCTTTATGCGCCGCAACAGCTGCCGGCCTCGCCGGTGGGCCATCAGGGCGTCGGCCCATACGGGTGAACCGTATAGGGCCATGGCCCGCACCACCCCCATGTAGAGGCGGTGTACCTTCTCTTCTGGTTTTTACCTCTCTCCGAGATTGGGCATCAGACGACCCAATAAGGTCGTCACGCCCTCAATCCGGGGGACCAGGCGGTCGAAGTGTTCTTCGAAGCGCCAGCGGCTGTCCAGGTCTAGGCCGAGGTACTTCATTTGGCCCTCGACCCGGACACAGGCGTCTCCTACACGGTCCCAGGCCTGGGGGACTCGCCGCGACAGAGGTGTTATATCCGGTTAGGAATATTACCTCTTTTCCTTGCATATTTTTCTCTTATCACTTTCAAACGCGAAGAGCGAGCGAAAATCATCAAATCAGCGACACGTGAAAGCTACGCGCGTAGTCGAGAATCCTTGAGACGTTGACCGACGGACCGGACGGATCAGCAATATCGAAACACCGCCACGACGACTCGAGAATTCCCTGACGAACAATAGCTTGTTGCTATCCCGTATCTTCCACGTTCTTCAATAAAGGAAGGAGCGTGTTCCGTCGTAGACCCGAAACGACGGCTTTAGAATCTGACATTACCGTTATCTTTTATTATTTTATTTTCTTCGTTCAAGCAATGTCAATTTCGTTGACACAAAGAGAGTCATAGACAAAAGGAGCGAACATTTGGTCTGCAGTCCGCCACATGCGCTCGGTAACCTGGGACCCATCCGCGCCGGGCCTTACCGGGGCGCGCTGACTCGCAGACAATACGGCTATAAACCCTACCGTTGAGAGACTCGAAGCTTCGTCGCGGTCAACTCGCACCGTGACCACGTGCGCGATATTATACCGACGTCCGCTTCACCCTGAAGGAGAGGTTTTCCACCTCCACGTCACGTGGAAAAACCTAGAAATTTGCCTTCCCCTTCAGGGCATAACCAATAAGGAAGCGAGGTTTGGTAACGCCTTGAGCGAATTTAGAGGAAACGACGAGACACGAAGATCAGACTCAAACCAGAACTCACCCGGTGAACATCACACACACACACAGACACGCACACAAACACACAACTTGTAAATACAGTCATTACGAAACAATCTAAGTGTGCTTTATTTTTGGTTTCGAAATTCTAAAGATCGTGTAACGGTTCGGCAATTAAGTGCGAACATTGCACGACCTAACAGGGGGAAAACATTATAAAACGATTGTCCAAACCGGGCAAGTCTCTCTTCCTCTTAGTTAATCTCACGGTTTCGATTCTCGCGTTAGACGGTGCTTCGTCTATTTTCTTCACGCGTAACGGCGAGCTGAGCAACAGCGGTTACTCCCTTTTGAAGAATTGAATTTGTTTATACCAAAAATCTTGAAATAGTAATAGATCAAATAAGGCAAATAAAAAATAAAAAAAATAGATATAGCTCTTGCACCATTATTATGGCTTTTTCGTTATATAACCAATCGTCGGCTGCATACAATTGCTTGTTCAATTGTGTTGTAGATGATTCCATTAAAATTTACATATCTGGTTATGGGTCCCATTCTGTTGCTAAAAAATTAAATTGCAATATATGTCGATTAATTGTGGAGGATAAAGGTAAAACTGTAGACAATGTATATTTTGACCACTTACAAAGAGGTGGCCTTCCTGTTCCCACTGAAGAAGTGATAACCTCATTTATTCATATGTATGCGATAATGGAAGCCATAATAAATGACAGCACTTTGGAATCTCAATTTCTGCAATCTGAAAATCATAAACATATTTTATGTAAATTAACATATGTATATTAGTATTCAATCAGATGTACATTATTTAGCATTTTCAGATACATGCATTTGTGGTCAAAGTCACCACAGTATTTTGTTGAAATTGTCAATTTTTTCGAATATTTTATTAAATGATTATGTGAAAACTGTAAATAATAGACTGTTCTCTAACACAAGTTCATAATTAACTGTATAATTGTTCCTTTCAATAGCGAATTATCCTAACCTCTTCTCCACATATCCCTTAACCTGTTTGGCATCGTACAAATTATTTTGTCTATTTCAGGTTTCTATTAACTTATACATACCTTTATCAATTTTTAAATGCTTCAATTTGGTTCAAAGATGTTTTAGAGATCTAAAACATTTATGCGATCTACAGTTGCTCGAGGGATTGCCAAAAAAGATTGAAGTATATATATATGAAGTATAAATATTGTATTGATTGAAAATAAAGTCGAAATGTTACGAATAGTTTGAAATAAGTCGAAATGTACAGTTTATTGAAAAGGATACAAAATCTATTACGATTACGCAATACGAGGGCAGAGAAAATGTTAAAGAAAATGAAATTGATGAAAATAAAACAGAAGAGGACCAAGAAAAACGAGTAACTGAATCTGAAAATGAAAACGAAGAGGAAGAAGAAAAAGATAAAATTGAAGAACCCACGAAAACTACACGTCCAGAAAGAGAAATACAGAGGCCAAAGAAGTTTAAAGATCATGTGGTTTACGTAAACTACTGTAGTACAAAAGTACCAGAAAGTTATGACGAAGTAATAAATTGCCTAGAATCTAAAAAATGGATAAATGCAATGAAAGAAGAGATCAAAAGCTTCGAAGAAAATGGAACATGGTCGTTGGTAGATGAACCAGTCAACAAGGGAATTATTGAAGTAAAATGGATCTATAGAATCAAATCAGATGGAAAATATAAAGCTTGTGTCGTTGCAAAAGTCTTTCAACAGGCATATCAAGAAAACGAAGAACTCTTTGTTAGTATAAAGTCACGCCGGGAACACAATTAAGTAGAATATGACAAAAGACAAAGAATTAAACACTGCGTAGAAGGAATCATTAAGAAAGAGATAGCCACGACACAAAACACGGGTTAGTAAATAAATACAGGGTCGAATTAAATCAAATAATAACTTACAAAATATTGTTGAATAGATTATTGGGAAAGGCATGGTTGTATCGTACGTCGTAATAACACAAATGGATATTCATAAAAGCAGAATTAACTAAGATTAGCACTGTTAAACCAAGGACGAAATCACAAGGGAACGTGAACAAATTTGAATAAATAACACAGGGATCCCGAAGATAGTTTATTCCGTAAAAATAATGATAGAAATGCGGCGCGGAATAAAGTTGGTTACAAGCACGGGGAAACTCGGAGGTGGAATTCAGTGATGCCAGGACGTGGGATTTTTCCCACGCATGCGCACTCAGTGATGCCAGGACGTGGGATTTTTCCCACGCATGCGCACTCAGTGATGCCAGGACGTGGGATTTTTCCCACGCATGCGCACTACCTAATCCTCAGTAACGTATATACTTCACTCAAATATGGGGTATCGTTAGACCCCCGTGACAATTGAAATACGGTAGAAATTACAGGAAGAGGATATTTTTAAAAGAAATAACATATTTACATGGAAATAAATGAATATATATTTTTTTATTATTTTGTACATCTGCAGCCGATTTATTACATGAATACAAACATTTGTTGCGAGAGTAAGAAAAACTGCAGAAAACCTTACTAGTATTCAAACAAGAACATTATATATAAAACATATAGTCGTGCTTTCATCAATTAATATTGAAAATTTCTGAATTTTTAATTCTGTAATAAGCTTATCGCTTTCGCGTTTGCCTATTACATTTTTTATTATCTGCGTACATTTAGTTCGTGACAATTTTAGATCCTTAACCACCTGCGGATCTGAACAGGTTTCCTTTAATAAAGGGACCATGTGATTAATTGTTTGAAAAGCTATATTGTGCTCCGCGTAAAACGCAGCTAACTTTATTTCGGCTGTTTTGACTTTATTAACATGGTCCAAATCAGAATTACTATCAACTTTTGGTAATAAAACAGATGGTGTGATATCACAGCTTTTGCTTGTATTTTTAATATGTAATTGAGTCCGCGAATGTCTAATAAGTTCTGATTTTCCGCATGCCAAGACTTTATTGCAAGCCGTGCAGAAAGCTTTTTTATTATTATCAGATTTTAACCAGTCTTTGAAAATATTATTCTTTAGCCAAGATAATTGGAATACTTTCCCTTTGTTACTTCTCTTCTTATCCGCCAATCCACTCGAACTAGGCTGCTGGTAATCCATCTTCTGGTTTCTGTCACTGTAATACACTAATATTGCACTACAATTCAATATATTATATAACATTACGCGACTCACCTTCACTTTAACGAAAAACGCGGGAAACAACTGGAAGGGCCCCTTACGCGTACCTACTGTTGCACATAGATACATCTATGGAAACAACCGCCGTCGAGCTGTGACGTCAGCATGCGCATGCGCACGAAGGCTCCCATGTGGGAGAAAATCCCACGTCCTGGCATCACTGAGGTGGATCGGTGGATGAGTTACTTAGGAAAAGAGTGGTGGGGGTAAAGCGACTCACGATTCACGATTCGGCATCACTGAACTAATAATGTATGTGTTGGACCAACACTGTGGTGTGTATGCATCGTTACATGCAGTTCAATGCAGTATGCTGTGCCATGCTGTGCGTTACATGGTGTCGAACGTATATGTATAGTTCATGAAATCGGAAACTTTGGTTCGACTAGCGTGATTTTTATAGGACACCAAGTCCCAGAAGGTATTACTAATACCTAATACCGTATTAGGTCTATTCAGAGGTTTATTCTTATATCTCGTACAATCTCGTCTGTGATTACAGTAATTCCTATTACCTTTTTTCATAAGATTAAATAAGTTTCAATTTAAAGTGAAAATTTTATGCTTCTTTAATAATAATATAATATAATATTTTTTCTTGAATAAATCGTGTTAAGACGTCAAATACGCATAAATCAACATATTTGCGGAATGTGATTGCTTTTACATGAAATTTGTAATTTGTAATTCCAAGTAAGTTAATGATCTTATAAACAAGAAATTATTATCACTGTGTTTACGCAAAAATACTTTATTTATTCGTGGCAAAATTATGTATCTAAATATATAATATGTATGTACAATGTAAATAATGCTGTACCATAAGATTAAACTAATTCCAGAATTAGTTGAGTTAAGCAATTATAAATCTTTTGTAGATAATGGCCAATTCAGACAACGTTAAAGAACATACTACTGCCAGTGAAGAAAATATCCTTGTATGTATAGACACGTGTATTAAATTTACAGTTACAAATGTTGTCATCAACTGTGCTTCTATGTTTCATTTCTGATCGAAACGGATTTTGTTGCATTGAATTTACAATATATTTCCTAAAACTTTGCTTCACATTTTACGTTAACACAATTCTTATTTTTCATTTTTATTGGTAACTTGATTATTACGTGCAGTGTGGTGATGGTATGAAAGAATACCTTGAGCCTAGATTCGAGTGTCCTATTTGTTTAACTTGGCTGCGCGATCCAGTTTTAACATCTTGTGGTCATAAATTCTGTTCGCAATGTATATACACTTGGCTTCAGTAAGTTATACCTCATATATGTAAAATTAACAAGATTCATAAATAGTTGTAAATATGACTAATGTTTCTTAAATAATTTTTATTTATAGAAAAGAAGGTGCTTGTTGTCCAGTTGATAGTCGACCATTAAGGTCTGAAAGTGATCTGTTCAGAGATTTATATACAAGTAGGGAGATATCACAAAAACGTACACCTTGTCCTTACCAACAATTTGGCTGTGAGATTAAATTATCTCCGGTGGATATGGAAGTTCATATAAGTGAATGTATATATAAAACAAATCTTCCAGATTCACAAAATATTTATTGTCCTTTTAAAAATGTTGGCTGTACAGAAGCTTTTCAAACAGAAGATGATTTGCATGTTCATTTAGAAACAAATATAAGCCTTCATTTAACTGTTAGTTTCTTTTCTTTCTGTATGATTATGTGTGTGTGATAAAAAAAACTGATTGTTTACCTATTTTGTAGATGATTTTAAAAACATTATCACAGTCATTTTTAGTGCAAAAACATGATAATGCAATGGCTGCTGAATCTAAATTGTGGGACCCACCACCCAAAAGTGCATCTTTGGCAAATAATGAGCCATCATTAGAATGGCAGCAATTGTTGAAGTACATCCTCTATGTTTATTTATCATATAGAATACTTTCATAAAATATTTCAAAATTGTATCATACCTTTGAAAAATATATTTTTTTTTAGGAATTTGTATGAAAGGATAGTGGTACTGGAACAGCAAAACAGAGAACTCTCCATTACTGTATCTAATCAGAAAACTCAACTTACTACCTTGCAAACTTCTCTTAGGTTCAATCAAGAAGAAATGTTTTTGCGTAGTTGTAATGGTGTTTATATTTGGAGATTACATTCATTTCATGAAAAACTTAAAAGTATGATGAATGATCAATTAAAAATGTTTTACAGTCCTGGTTTCTACACTAGTCCTAATGGTTATAAAATTTGTGCTAGAATTAATATATCCTCGAAGGATCCAGAATTTCTGTCACTACTTTTACATATAATGAAGTCAGAAAATGATGATGGTCTAGATTGGCCATTTAGTGGTATAATGCACTTTATTTTGGTGCATCCACATGATTGTGAAAAAGATATACGGGAAATAACTTCGTCGAGACCCGATCTAGAAGCATTCAGGAAGCCAGTTTGTGAATTAAATAAACGAAGTTTCGGTTATACAGAATTCGTTCGAATACGAGACTTATCCAATTTTTTGCAAAACGATCGCTTAATTTTTAGAATCGAAGTTCGTGTCCAAGATCGGATTGGAATATCAATGTAATATAATTACTTAATCATATTAATATTGAAATCAAAATGGTAGTTTTATTTTCTTCTGTAAGATGAAGTGAAAATTATTTTGAGTTTATTCTGCCTTCTGTTACTACCTGTGCTCAGGTACCTTTTAATTTTTAATACTAATCGAGTGTTCAGTTAATGTACAATTTTCAGATGGTTAAAATGGACTTATACATGTGAATGTGAATTGTACAGTATATTATATGTCATGGAATGAAATCCGTCCTTTCATTATGTGATAAAGACTAACCAATTTTTGTTATTTGATTCTGTAATGTAACCATATTTATAATATAAATAAAGTTTGTAAATTGTGCATATGTATATTGTTCACAAAATTTCACTCTTTAAAAGTATCAAATAAGTCTATGTAGTAGTAAGTCCATTATTTAACTATACTTAATTAAATTTTGAAAGTATCAAAATTTAGTTCAGTATAGTTATATAAATAATAGATATATTCTTTCAATTGTTACAGTAACCTGGTTTATGTGAAAGTGGGACAATTCTCCTATTCTTTGGTATATATATATTGTAAAAGAACTTTCTAAGTGTAAACAAGATTTCAGTCATACACTCAGATCTGCAGTACAAATCAATTCAAAATGGAAATAAATTTTATACGTATTTTATTTATTTTCGCGGCAATTTTTACTGGTATTGTTGGTTTTCTACTGAACTTTGTGGAACCCTATTTACCTGTTGCACTAACTCGTGCATATCGTTATGGTAAATTTTCTGATAATACTTATCAGCCAATCGTAATGAAAGCAGAACTACCTAAAAGGTAAGCTAGAATAGTGAAACAATATTAATTTAATAGTATATGACAATAACGTACAACAACGTTTCAGATGGTTCAAACATTTTTACATTTTTGCTGCACCAGCTTCAAGTTATGCATTATATTTGGTACTTTATAAATACTTATGGAAAGGAGACATATCCAAAAATGTTTTATGGGTATTGAATATATGTTTAGGAACGAATCGACAACCATTAGGTAGATACAGAATCCACAAGTAATTAAAAATTTGTAATTTAATTTTTTAGATTTCATTTTGCATTCATACTTTTAGTATCTCCAGAAAATACATTTGCAGCTGCTTTGCTTATAACACTTCATTCCTGGAAACGATTTTACGAAACACATTACGTAAATATTTTTAGTAACAAAATGATGAATATAGCACATTACATAATTGGATTTTATCATTATGTAGGAATAATAATATCTATTATAGGTGAATCCGAAGGATTCGTTGAAGGTACTATAATATAAATAGTTTTACTTACATTATGTGATTATATAATTAAATCTAGTTACATCTTAAAGGTTTTAATCCTTTAATATAGGTTCAGAAGGCTATTTTTCCTACAAGAAAATTACTTATATTCAAATAATATGCGGAGCTATTATTATAGTGTCATCATATGTTCAACTTGAGGCGAATTATATTCTTAGTAGTTTACGAAAAGATAAAAATGGTGAAATGAATTCTGCAGTGTATAAGATACCTCATGGTGGTTTATTTGAATATGTGTCAGGTGCTTTGCAACTTACAGAAATAATTATTTATATAACAATGTCTGTAATTTTATGGCAAAGCTCTACATTTCATTACGCTACAATGTGGGTGTTAGTAAATCAGGTATAAAAATTACATATTACCATTAACGCAACAAATGTGCATACTACTAACTGCTTGAATTTTCATTTTTAGATATCTACTGCTGTATTAACCCATAAGTGGTACACAAAAACATTTCAGCATTACCCACAATTTAGAAAAATTCTGCTGCCTTACATTTTCTAAGTATTTTAACTGTAATTATATAATCATTATTTATTAAATATATTTCTTTATTATAATTATGAAAGCTTTATAAATTTCGTTTGTAATGTTAAACGTATAGTTAATAAACATATGTATGAAATAGTGGAAGTAATTGGAGTAAAAAATCCATATGTTTTATTTCAGACATATACACATGCTTCAACATTTTAAACAGTGTTAAAGAATAGTAATTTTAAATATTAATTTATTTTACATTACGTACAAACAAATGTACTTACGTTACAAGACTTTTAACAATGATTAGAGCCTAAGTATTATACTCAAATTCTTCTTTTATATAACTTAGTTTTTAATTTCGATGGGCAAGTTGAAAGTTCCTTTTGCAATATATACAAATGATGACTTCCTCTACTTACTCTTTTCACTTGAATAGTAAGCTGCAACAGATCAATTATTCATCGCTTAGGTACGGCGTAATATCGACTTTTTGGGAAAATTCGTAAGACCGAGTATATTAATGTATTCATCTTATATAGAGTATATTAATATACTCGAACTTGGTAACAATAATTATTATATATTAATAAAAAATTATTTTGACTTGTTATACCTGTAAGGATATCCTTGCGCTTTGTTTCTAAATATGGATAACAAAAGACTAAAAAAGATGGCGACTAAACCCGCGCCTATCGCAGCAAATATTCGCCGTTTTTTTACATCACCTTTGCGAGATGCAGCTTCTGTCATTAAAATCATACCTAACACCACTGCTCCATCTAATTGCATTTTGTTAAAGAAAGTATTACGCAACATACTTAGTTTTTTCATAAACGTTTCTATAGGACAAAAAGGATACTCAAAACCATGACTATATATGTTTCCAAAATAAATTGACCCTGAGAAGAAGCATGAATGTAAGCCACATTTCCACTAGCTGATTTATGTATAAATGGTGGTGACCTAATGTGATTCCACATTTGCCCAGATATCATTGCAAGAGTAAATAACTGTAAACAATATTATTTCAAAATTAAATTATTACATAAATTATAAAATCTATAAAATAGTGTACTACCAGTGCACCAAGTCCCCAAATTGTTTTGTTGTAGATGAAATCCAAGTTATTACGTCTCACATAGAGGAATCCTCCAATAAGAACTAGTAACATTATTATTGCTACTGTACCAGAATAGTTTGGAGGCCTGAATACTCTAATCTATAAATCGTTAAGAAATTTAATGGTAACATAAAAAATGTTAGAAATGATCATTTTCTTTATCATATATAATTACTTGAATATCAGTCCGTTCAGATATCCACTTTGCAATTGCCTCTGCTCCAAATCCTACTCTTTGGATGTCCATGGTATCCGCAGGTTTTGGTTTCCCTTTTGGTGGGAAGTGCATATATACTGGTGCAGTATTTAATCTCATCTACACAAAACAATTCAAGTAAAATCAAAGCATAACATAACTCTTATAAGCGATTGATGGTTTAAATACCATTGTGAATACATCTGATCCTTCATCAAAGTCTACAGATGCAAAGAATAATTTTTTTGAATGAGATTGCAAATATCTGAACGAATTTGCTACTATTACAAATTCATCATTTGCATGCCTGGAAAAAGAATATATTATAAATTATTTACAGTGAGATAAATTAAAACATAAACTTATTGTTACCTGCATATTTGACATTGTCGTTGTGGTGCCATGGCAGTAAACATCACTATAACAGAATAATTTCTTGGCGTAGTCCTTACATATTCCTTAAATTTTGCACCATTGAATTTTATTACAGGTCTTGTGAGAGCTAATTCTGTTAATTGTTGTACACGATCTGACAAAGAAGAACCTTGGGTCTAAAATGGATAAGTACGGAGGTTTACATTATTACTGTGAGTTCAGGTTATGTAAATCAAATTTTTATTGTATTGAAAAGTTACAAATAACATATAAACAGATTTAGAAGTAGTAGTAAAAATTATTCACTAATTTTCTCATTCAGTATTGTAAAAAGAAACGAATACAATAATAGGAACAATTAAGTATGAATGACAGTTACTGAAAAATTAAAAGATTCTCACGTTTTTAGTTCTATATTGACAGCAAACGTAGTTTAAACACAAAAGTAGACCCAACAAGATAATATACTTTCTACAATTCATTGTAAATAATTATTGCAGAAATATATGTTAAAACTTGCTGCCGGGAACACGTTACAGCTGTTATAGGCAGCTCATTGGCTCATTCGATACAACGTGGCATTTGATGTCGATTTTGACAACTTCGGAAATATAAAATTTACAGCAAACTACTTAATAAAAATTATTCTTTGCTATTACTATATGCTGTTATAACAGAATACAATTCATTATTTCACCAATAAATGCAATAGTTTTTCAATATTCAGTCTAGGACGTTATTTGGTGACAGATAGGGATGGCAACGATACATCGATGTTTTGAAAACGTCGATATTTTCTTTCGATATTGGTACTTCAATATATCGAAACCATCGATGTTCTTGAACGGATTTCGATGTTTTTAAACAAGTCACAATTTCAAATCTATTCGATTTGGGCCAGTTTAAAACTTTAATAGAATACGTGGTAACATTTGACTATCACCGAATATCTGCTTTGTCATGTATTACGGTGTTTTCAACAAATGCGTTCAAACACCCGAATGTCATCGTAAATTGTCGAAAAAGCGTTCATGTTCATAAAATTTGACGAATTATGTTTTGTTTTAAAAAATCTGTACTACATTTAATTACTATTACTTTTTTTTTTATCCTTTTTATGCTTTGTTATTATTTTTATTGTTTCATTTTTATTATCTTCATTTGTTTTACATTTTATTATAATTATGCCACCAAAGAGCACAGTTTGGCAAAATTTTATAAAATTATCTGCCCATGAAGCTCAGTGCAGGATATGTGGGAAAGTTTTAAAAATAAGTGGCTATACTTCTAATTTAAATTCCCATTTGAAAGTGTATATTTTCTTACGATACTATGTATCACCAACTCACAATTTAAATCCACAAACTACTGACGTAAGTACATATACAGGATGTCCCGAAATACGTGTACGTCCTTGAAAGCGGTGATTCCTGGGGTGATTTGAAACAACTTTTTCCGTTAACGAAAATGTGGTACAATGTTAAATCAATTATTTTTAAGCAGTGTACCAGAAAAATATTGGTTGATAAATAAAAGATATATGAAAACGATATAAAAGTTTAATTAACTTTCTTATGAAAATTTCTTTTGGCTGAATTTAAAGTAATATCGATAATATAAACATTGATGTTTTACTACCGATATACAGTAGACATTCGTTTATTGTCGACCCGTTTATTGTAGCATGGGAACGCCCTTCGCTTACACGTATTTCCCACACACGTGCGCGCACCCCACTCTGTCGTCCAGCACGCGCAGGACGGAATACACGTTTCACCCGTACATTTCACTACAGAAAGCGAATATATAATATTGTTTTAATAAAATGTTTCAATGTTATAATCAACTACATTTCGTATTATGCTTAATTCATATTGAATATAAGTAGTTATGTAAGCAGATAAACTTATAACAAAGTCAGTGTTGGGCATATATAAGAATATTAAATGTCTTTAAGGTGGTTGATCATAGAAATGGAAAAGCTGCAAAAAGTTAAAAATTCATACATATGGAGTTTATAAATGAGATTAATATCTATTAAAAAAATGTGTTTTCCTAGGGCGTGATAGTGCAAAATTTATTATAATAGTACAAAGTAAAACTGAACCAATAATACTGTTTTATATAAATAATTATTTCTATAAATATTACATATATGACAAAATTAAAAATCTCAACGTGTATATAATTGTACAACTATTTACGCTTAGGAAACAATTAATTTTTTCAGTATATTCTCTTCAATTTGTTACTTATAATATTTGAATACATGTATAAAAGTATGGGTAAATGTTTAATTTTTTGTCCAGTGATCTCTACTTGAAAATATAAACAGAGGGTTCTCAATAATAAAATCATAGAACAATAGGATTGAATATCTTAAAAATATTATGAAAATTTAACATTGAGTATGTCATGATGACTGATTATGAGTCAGAAGTAAAATATTATACCTATTATAAGTTTAATATTGGTGATGCTGTAACATTTAAGGAAGAAAAATATTTTGTTTTTCATTTATTAGTTAAAACACTTTCACAAGAAAATTTAGATATAGAACATATGAAATCCTAAAACATTTGTTAAATTCTTTAGGTGAAAAAACATTTAGTGTTTCGAGGGAACATAATGATTTAGACTCTACTGAATGGAATTCTATAGAACAAATTTTTAGAGAAGTGTTTAATGATTCTCAATATTTAATTACCATTTGTAGAATTGAAATAATCACACCATCAAAATCCGAAAGGCATAAAATTATTAAACAGAATCATGAGTCCACAGTAGGAGGACATCAAGGCATAGGAAAATTGTATCATCGTCTTAGACAGAATTTCTTTTAGCCTAGGATGAGGAAGGAAATTATAGTGTTTGCACATACATGTTTAAGTTGTCAAAGAAATAAAATGCGACACGGTGAGAAATAATGCGAACCGATGCGAACTTGACGGGAAATGATGCGAACCGATGCGAACTTGACGGGAAAAGAGGCGAACCGATGCGAACTTGACGGGAAATGATGCGAACCGATGCGAACTTGACGGGAAAAAGTGCAAACCGATGCGAACTTGACGGGAAATCAATCTTGTGTAGGCATCGGCACGAGGCTTCCTTGTGTGAACAGGGACCGTGGGGTGAGAATCGGCACGTGGCTTTGCCGTGCCGACGAACGACCGCTTCTTAGATATCGCGGGTTGGGCGGCGAGCCGTCGCTGCGACGCAGTCCGCGACATTAAAGACGGAAGCCGCCCCTGTGTGATCGGCGGCGATCTCCGAAGACCATGATGGTCATGAGTGTTTGTGCGTGTGTGTGAGTGTGTGTGAGAAAGCCTTTTATATAAAGAACGGATACGATGACGGGACAGTCAGTCTCGATCCGTCGACGTGAAACATTAAACTATCTTACTATTGTCGCGGTAGTCACCAACGAACCCTTCATTACCCCGATGGTTTTTCCATGTACCAACCCTGCGATACAGATCTCCTTAAAAACCCGACCGTTCGCCGAGACAGCTTTCACCCGAATTCCGAAGAACGCCATGATGTCTTTTTACGATATCCCGATTTCCCACACGGCCCTTTTCCAAATTCCTAATGTCGCCAAGATGTCGTCCGATGATATCCCTATTTCCTAGGTTATCCTTTTCTAAATTCCTTAAACCTAACGTCCACCCCCTCCATACTGGAACCCCTTTAAATACTGGTCCCAAACAGGGGATGAGACAGTCGATTTCTGAACTTCAACAACATTACATCGCCACTCTGTCCAATTGTATTCCTATTTGTAAGTAATAGTTAAATAAAAACGTATTAAAACCTAATTCGGAGTTACCTCGACGACACTATTAAACGTGCCAGATTCTTTCCCTCCCCGCTCGACATCCTACACTTGGTTTATTTGTTTTTATATCTTTGCTTACATTTGTATATTTGTAACAGATAAATTCAGAATAGATATAGTTTCATAAATAGTTTATCAAATCTACACGTGGGAGAATATATACACCGCTTTTATTAACATTTACATATTTATAATTTATATGAGAATATGAATAGTTTTACTGCCTATTGTAAGAATCTTAATATGCACGTACAGTTACTTTGTGGCAATTGGTAAATTTTTATAAATGAATTTACTTACACGTTATTTACTTACAAAAATTTTATTTATTGCGAGTAATTAAATAATGAACGTATGTTAATATTCAGCTACGTGTCTCTCAAATTAAGTGAAACACAGAAGTTTTATTTTCTTGAAAATTAGTGTCAAAGAATACAACTGGTCAGATTAGTTTCGTAAATAAATCGAAACCCCGTATCGGCACACTGTTTTTTAGGCTATCAAATATCACACGGAGTCTTTTAGGAAGTAGTAAAATCTTCTACACAAGTTCAATGAAATACTTTCAGGTACCCAGTGTAGGGCTATGAAATTAGAATGTTCAAGAAGAGGTAAAGAAATTTCATATTTGCAATTATTTTGTGATACTGTAATAGAAATCGGTTTCCTGTGAGGAAAATCGTATTTAACGATATGAAATGAATAATAAATAACGGTCATAGGGATTTATACTGGAGAGCTAAATCTTTAAAAGGAACATGTCGCTTAAACAAATTAGTTAAAAATGATATTTATTTGGGGAATATGAACATCATAAATAAACTAGAGCGGTAGAGTGGGTGTTGACGCGTGCCGAGGAATTTCAGGGGTCTATAGGGGCAGGTGTGCGAGCGAGAGAGTACGGTAGACCGTGCCGCGATATCGGTGCTCTCCGTCGGTCCAACGCGTTAGTGACGTTGCGTCACACAGTATTAACCTAGCCGTGTACGCCGTGTAACATTTTTTTTTCTTTTTCTTTTTTTACGCGGGGGAAATGCCTAAACGCACACCCCGGAGTCCTGGGGTGGAACTCCGGGGTAGTGTGGGGCTTGCACCCACTAAACCCCCCGCGGCAGCCGTCTCAGGCGGTGGCGGGATCTCATACGAACGCACCGCCACCGCCGCGCCTATGCTCCCCGTTGTCGGGGAGCCCTGTTCCGTGGGGGCAGTATGTTGCCCCCAGGGGTGACCGAACCCCGGTCACCCCCCTCGCGCTACTCCGCCAGCGTCGGGGGACTGCACTCCGACGCCGGCCCAACCGGGCCGCACGAACATGCGGTCAGGGTCCCCACCCCGACCGCAGCGGCCCCGACGGACGCGTGCGCGCAGGCAAGAGCCGCAGTGGCCGCGGCTCCGCGAGGTCCACGCACGCGTCCGTCCATTCTCGCAAGCTTCCGCCTGCCTACGGGGGGACCGGCCCGGCGCCAGCGTCGGCGGGGCCGGCTGCGCGGGCCACTTGGCCCCGCCCACGACCCCGCCTCGCTCTTCTCCTCTCGCGGCGAGCGAGGTCGCTCGCCTCGCGACCCCGCTCGTCGTCCTCCTTCTGCTGCATGACGGCTTCGCAGAAGGAAGACACCGCCTTCCACGACCTCTCGCTCCCCACCACGGCCGCAACCACGGCCGGGAGCGAGAGGTCCCCTCCTATCTCCTGTCGGAGCGCCCGCCTCTCCCTGGAGAAGGCCGGGCACTCCTCT